TATGGAAAATAGGGCCCATTTCATCATAGCCTCCTTCTTCTGTACTCCGCTACAACCGCCGCGTTCATCCTAGCTGCAGCTGGTTTCTCCGAGGCTCCTGCTTAAAGCCGACATATTATTATGGCTGAAAGCCACTTAGGCCTGGATAAGCCCTTCTGCATCTTATTCACAGTTTACAACCTCAAGGTTGATGAGGCCCTCGGGGAAGAGGTCATTCCCTTGATCCTGCAAACCCAGACTCGTTTAGCAGCAAGGAAATCTCCATCATCCCATTGCCCAATCTAGAATATGTCTGCTTTCTCCACCGCTCTCTGCAGCTGTAAGCCAGAGGGAATTTAAGGTAACTTGGCTTTACAGGCTCTCCTCCCCCAAACACACACACCATGTGCTTGTTTTTGTGTTTAAAAAAGCCCCCTTCTCGATGCACAAGTTCATTCCCTCCATGCTGTTTTCATCGACATATACAGGTGTGTATGTGTACTCTGCATGTGTATCTCTTCTCTCTTGAAGACCGTGGTAACTTTGTGAAATAACTTCCACATTTCAACATGCTTCACAGTAGAGGAAATAAAGTAATATGAAAAACACCCTGCTTGAACTTGACAATGTGAGCAAGTCAAGAATAACATTTTGAAGCCATCTTGCCGGCCGGGCACAGTGGCTCTTGTCTATAATCCCAGCAGTTTGGGAGGCCAAGATGGGAGGATCGCCTGAGGTCAGGAATTCAAGACCAGCCTGGCAACGTGGTGAAGCCCCTTCTCTACTAAACATACAAAAAATTGGCTGGATGTTGTGGCACACGCCTGTAATCGCAGCTGCTCGGAAGGCTGAGGCAGGAGAGTTGCTTGAACCTGGGGGGCAGCGGTTGCAGTAAACAGATCGTGACACTGCACTCTAGCCTGGGCGACAGAAGGGGACTTCATCTAAAAAAATAAATAAAATAAAATAAAGTCATCTTGCTACCCACCCCCTACCATTGAGCCACATTCTCAGCCCCAGAGCCTCTTTCTTGCTCTAACAAGATGAGTGGAGAAAAGATGATTCCTCAAGAAATTCCTAGGAAAGCTATTCTAAAGCCTCTTCTCTCTTCCTTCTCCTCCTCCTCCTCCTCTTCTTCTACTTCTTCTTCTTCTTCCTCTTCTTTCTTTTAATAGTGGCAGGGTCTCATTATGTTGCCCAGGCTGTTCTAGAACTCTTGGCCTCAAGCAATCCTCCCACCTTGGCCTCCCAAAGTGCTGGGACTACAAGTGTGAGCCACTGTGCCCAGCCTCAAAGCCTTTCCTTGAAGAATTTCTCCCAAACTCACAGCCCTCATGAAAAATTAATCCTCAATTCCACAAGACTGCCCACACACAGACAAATACATACATATATATATATATATATATATATATATATATATATATATATATATATATAAATTCTTAAAGTCAGACCGGAAATCTGATAGCTGCATTTGAAACCCAGAGCATCAGGTTCTTTCAACCTGCACATACTAAATTGTTGAGGGTCTCCCAGGAGCTCGGTGTAGAGGCAGACACAGAAAGACACAAAATGGTTGCCTTGCCTGCCCAAGTAAAGCTTACAGACTAGCTGGGGAGATGCAGGTGCACACAAAACAGTGAAAGAGCTGCCTCGAGGGCAGAGAGCATAGAGCCAGTCATCTGGAATGGTCTGAAGGCCATGCAGAAGTCCACAGAAGGGTTAGAACAGGGTGTCCCAGAATCTCTCTTCAAAGGGAAGCTTGGTTACAGAAGTGGGGTTCATGACCCTCCCAGGCTACCCATCTTGTTTAGAGTGAGAACTGCCAGGTGACGCCCTCACTGCTCCCGCCTGCCTACTAGACATCTACTTCAGTTCATTTCACGGATGTTCAGTGGACATCGGCCACATGCCAGGTCCCCAGCTAAGAATTCAAGGATGGGTAATCTACACAGCATACCTTTGAGTAAGGGGAAAGAAATCCATGAATGGATACCGCTATGTGCTAAGTGTTTGTAAAAATACTGTGTATGAGCAACACAGAGGAGAGGGCTTCTACCTCTGTCTATGGAAAACCAGACACGTTCCTACCATGTGAGCTGGCTTTTAAGAGATAAATTAGATTTGGTCAGGTGGGAGAAAGAAAAAAAGACGCAGGCTGGGTACGGTGGCTCACACCTGTAATCCCAGCGCTTTGGGAGACCAAGGTGGGTGGATCACAAAGTCAGGAGTTCGAGACCAGCCTGGTCAACATAATAAAACCCCGTCTCTACTAAAAATACAAAAATTAGCGGGGTGTGGTGGTAGGTGCCTGCAATCCCAGCTACTTGGGAGGCTGAGGCATTAGAATCATTTGAACTGGTGAGGTGGAGGAGGTTGCAATGAGCTGAGATTGCATCATTGCACTCCAACCTGGGTGACAGGGTGAGACTCCGTCTCAAAAAAAAAAAAAAAAAAAAAGACACAACCAAGATGGGAAACAGCATGAGTAAAAAGGTAGGAAGGTGTGGAGTCTACCCTGTGGGGCTTGTGTGTCTGAAACAGAGGAGAAGGTCATGTTCTGGTCATGGAGTTAAGTCGCTGCAAGCCCTCAGCAGGGGATATACCCCTGTCCTCCAAAACGCAGGAGGGTTTGAACTTCCCCACCTCTCTCTCCCTGTCCATGAAAAGGGCAACCACAGGGTTGGCTGGCCAGACTTCTGTCCATACCACCTGCCACCTCCGATTCATCAACATGCCTTGTGCCTTTCCTAATGAGCGATTAGGATTAAGAAGCCTCCCACGCCTCCTGCTTCCTTTGCCAGGCTCTCGGGGAGCTGGGCTGCCTGGAACAACAGTATGGGTTAGCCGTTTACCCCGCAGGTCACCTGTATGCATCTGTGAACAGCCCCTTATATTCATGAGAACAAGAGTGAGTGACCTGCGAGCTTGGGAGAGCAGAGAAGAAGTTTGGGAGGGGGTCTCGGATGCGAGCTTGTGTCCGGATGTGGCTCCCGGCAGGAGCAGAGGGAGCAGGTGTGTATGCATTGGGAGGAACAATGGTGGGGTGCAGCAACCAAGCGGGGATGGCAGGACCGTGTGTGTCACTGGGAAAGCAGGGAGGGAGAGTGGGAGCAGGTGGCAGGGAGAGTCCACGAACACTTGCATTTCCATTTATCCCGGGAATAAATGTGTGGGGTGGGAGGGGGAGATGCACCTAGGCTGGCTGTGGGGGCGCAGGGCCTCTAGCTTCAAAGCCCAGGTTGTGGAGAGAAGATGGAGGCACACAGCCTGCCAAATGTGCCATCTGCCTCCCAGGTGCTCTCCAGGATCCAGGGCTGTCTTTCCCTCCACCCAGCAGAGCCTCTGATGGCGTCTCTCCCAGGTCGGGAGCTGCAGGGGTACAGGAACAGCGTCTTCTGTGGTGACCAGGGTCTTGGGCTGGGGGAAGCCCCCTCTCACACCAGCTGGTGCCCAGGAACACAGCAAGCCAAGTGCTGGCCTCGTGGGCCAAGCTATTAGATCTGCCTCTTCACCCGGTGTGCCAGGGCAGAGATGAGTTCTGCCAAGCCATCTGCTCTGAGGGCCTGGAAACACATGGACTCCGGACTCCTGGGGAAGAAGGTGGGAATGGGGAGGGTCATATGAACTAAATAAAACTCACTGACCTGAGAGTCAAAAAGTCTAGGCTTCGGCCCTGGCTCTGTGTGACCGAGGGCAAGCCACCTCACCTCTTTGGGACTCACTTTCCTCGTCTATACCATAGGGATTTGGACTAGGTCTTTAGGGGGCCTCACAGCTGGAATTCAGTGTCTGGTCAGTGGGAAGGAGTGGGGAACAAGGAGCGTCACTGAGAAACCGGGGTGGGTGCCGGGGCACAGGCTGGCAGAAGCGGGGGAAGGCACCCTAGCTACCCCACCCTCTGCCTTCAGCGAGGACTTGCTCAGCAACCTGCTCGAGGCAGCAAGGAAAGGGGAGTGTTTCCGGATAAGTGCAGTTGGCCCTCTGGATCCGTGGGTTCCACATCCATGGATTCAACCAATTGCAGATTGAAAATATTCAGAAAAATTTTTTTTCATAAAGTTCCAAAAAGCAAAACTCGAATTTGCTGCGAGCCAGTACTATGTGGAGCCCACGTGAACAGCGTGAGGTGTAAGAATTGCATTTGGTGTTCCAGGCAATCTAGAGATGATTTAAAGTGCACAGGAGGTGTGAGTAGGTTATTTGCAAATTCACCATTTTATATAAAAGACCTCAGCATATGTGGATTTGGTATCCACAGAGCATGCAGAACCAATCCCCCATGGTTACTGAGGAATGACTGTACATCTCTGAGGGTGGGGGAGAGGATGCTTCCCAGGCCCCCAAACACCTGACACAATGTCTTCTGGTGTTGATGACCCTTTCTAGGCCCATGTCCCAATTTCCATTTGCTTTCCTCCTAACAGATTTAGAGAATTTCCCATATCCTCATGATCATTATCTGTGAACTTGAAGTTGGCTTTCAAATCCTACGTCACCCCCCATCTCCTGTCTCTTTCAGCCATCTAGGCCTTCAGCTCCTGCCTCTGGTGATTTTGTTCAGTTATGAGTTCTATGCTGGGGCTCTGGGTGGGACTGGGGGTAGGGGTGAAGAGCCTCCATTCCACCTCTTTTTACCTTTGTATTCTGGCTATGAAGCTGAAGCCTCGTTACTCTCTGGCTGGAGAAAGAAGCTGGAATGACAAATTGTGTCTCTGCACATCCTCCCACTCCAGCCTTCTCTGAGGGCTCAGAATCTGAGGGATGGGGCGCTTTCCTTGGGGGGGATGGCACTGCCTGTTCCTCAAAAATGTGGCCTTATCAGGAAGGTAGTCCAGGAAAAGAAAGAAGGAGCTGACAGAGTAAGAGGAGAGACAGGGCAGAAGCTGGAGGGGGGTGAAGTGGAAGGTGGGGGGAGAATTCCCTTTTGTCAAGCAAAGGAATGGGGTAGGGGACCCCCTGAGGAAAGAGGAGGGGAAACAGCTGGACATCAGAAGGAATGAGAAGTCTGATTGGTCAAAGGCCTGGCCAACTCCTTACTGCCACCCGTCCCCAGGCACCACTGTCTAACCCAAGCCCCATTTCAGACTCCACCAGAGTCCCACCTACCTGGAAGCTGCAGGGCTCTCCATCCAGGATCCAGAAGCATCGAAGGGGTAAGGTTCAAGGTTTGAGGCCTTCGGCATACCTGTATGCAAATGAGAACAAAGTGCTTGGTGGGGGCGGGGGACTGGGCAGGGAGAATGAAGAGTGTTTATTTAGGCCTCTGACCAAAGAAGTTGGACAAGACTTCTGGGTGGGCACTGAACTGTCTTAGAAATTGTTTTTTAAAGATTATGTAATTCGTTTGAAGTGAGGTATGGGAGGTAAGGTGAAGAAACACCTCTTGCTACTGCTGGGGGCTTGCCCCTTTGCCCAGCTGAAATTAAAAAAGTGGGGGGAAGCGGGGGAGGTTAGCTGGGCATGGTGGCTCACTCCTGTAATCCCAGCACTTTGGGAGGCTGAGGCAGGCAGATCACCTGAGGTCGGGAGTTTGACACCAGGCTGACCAACATGGAGAAACATCGTCTCTACAAAAAAATACAAAACTAGCCCAGCGTGGTGGCACATGCTTGTAATCTCAGCTACTTGGGAGGCTCGGGCAGGAAAATTGCTTGAACCCGAGAGGTGGAGGTTGCAGTGAGCCAAGATCGCTCCATTGCACTCCAGCCTGGGCAATAAGAGCAAAAATTCCATCTCAAAAAAAAAAAAAAAGGAAGGAAGAAAGGGTGGGAGATTAACTGGGCATGGTGGCACATGCCTGTAGTCCCAGCTACTCTGGAGGCTGAGGCAGGGGGACTGCCTGAGCCCAGGAGGTTAAGGCTGCAGTGAGCTGTGATCGTGCCATAATACTCCAGCCTAGGCTGGAGTGACATACTGTCTTAAAAATTAAAAAATAAAATAAAAATTAAAAGATTAAAAATTTTTTTAACAAAAGAAAGGGGGAGAATCTACTAGAAACTCATGCAACTAGCTTTGGGGAGGGCCGTGTTAAGCCTACACTGGGTATGACTGTTATAAACACTTATGCCTACATATGACACCCACACCACATGAATTTCCTGACCCATCTGTGCATATACTAACTGCATGGACACTTGTACTCACATGCATATCACATACATACATAGGCATCTGCGCACACGCACATACAAATGTACACAGGTATCTAAGGAACTTTCCAGGCGCGTACACACTCACACAACTGCACACAAAGAACTCTTGTATTTGTAATAATCTGTTTCTTTTCTTTTTTTTTTTGAGACAGAGTCTCATTCTGTCGCCAGGCGCCAGGCTGAAGTGCAGTGGTGTGATCTTGGCTCACTGCAACCTCCGCCTCCCAAGTTCAAGCAATTCTCCTGCCTCAGCCTCCCAACAGCTGGGACTGCAGGTGCACGCCACCACGCCCAGCTAATTTTTTTTGTATTTTTAGTAGAGATGGGATTTCACCATGTTGGCCAGGATGGTCTCGATCTCTTGACCTCGTGATCCACTCACCTCGGCCTCCCAAAGTGCTGGGATTACAGGCTTGAGCCACCACGCCCGGCCAATAATCTGCTTCTAAAAAGCTGCATTTACAAGTATATTTCATAAACTAACACTCCTTTTTACGTTGTATGTTGCATTGTAAGTCCATGTCTCCTAAATAGAGTAGGTGTTCCTAGGAAAGGCTGTGCCTTATTCATTCTGTACCCACAGATACAAGTCCTTTGCCTGGAACTTAATAGACACACATAAATGTTTGTTGAGCAAATGCAATAATGGATGATCTTTTAAAAAAAAAAAAAAAAAAAAAAACAAAAAAACACAAAATTCGGCTAGGCTTGGGGGCTCAGGCATGTAATCCCAGCACTTTGGGAGGCCGAGGCAGGTGGATCACCTGAGGTCAGGAGTTTGACACCAGCCTGGCCAACATGGTGAAACCCCATCTCTACTAAAAATGCAAAAATTAGCCAGGCATGGTGGGTTTCTGTAATCCCAGCTACTCAGGAGGCTGAGGCAGGAGAATAGCTTGAACCTGGGAAGCGAAGGTTGCAGTGAGCCGCTCCACTCCAGCCTGGGCAACAAGAGCGAAACTCCATCTCAAAACAAAACGAAAGCAAAAACCCTACAAGATTCTTTGAGCTGACATTCTCTTAATCGAGCTTGGTGATCAGCAGTCATGTTCTGAGCATGGGGCTGTGTAAGGGAGGACATCTGTGTGCATGCACCAGCGTATGCCTTGTTTGTAGACAAGGGACTCTTGTGAATGTGTCTGTGTTGAGCCATGTCTGCACATGCTTCTGTGAGTGGATATCAGTGTTTGGGTGAGCGTGTAAAAACACTCACGTGGGGTGGTGGTGGGAGGGAGCTGCTAGGAGATACCCGAAGACAGCCTGGACATAGTCTAAGCAGCTGATAGGGAGTTTGTGCATGTGATGAGGGCGCTGAGTCTGCAAGTGTGCGAGTGGGAAGTGGGGTCAGCCTGTGAGCCGTTCCCGAAACCCTTCAGAGGGCCTGCCCCTCAGACGGCTGCCCTTCCTCCTAGCCACTCGCCAGGACCGGCCACGGAAGGGATTCTCATCCCCATCCCACTCCCCATGAGGCTCCTGGCTTTCCTGAGTCTGCTGGCCTTGGTGCCGCAGGAGATAGGGACAGCTTCTTTCTCAACGAAGGAGAGGAAGAGGAGAGAGGAGCAGGTGCCTGAGGAAGGCGATGCCTCTGAAGTTCTGCCTCTGGGGAGCGACGTCCTGAGCCCAGACAACTATGGTGAGGTCATTGACCTAAGCAACTTCGAGGAGCTCACAGACTATGGCGTCCAGCCCCCCGAGGTGAGGGACACAGCAGACCGACTGCATTCCCTGCATGACACTGGGAGTCAGAGAGGCCCAGGCCCTCCCACCTGCCCCATAGTGTGCTGTCTCAAGCCTCCACCTCTTACTCTATGAGGTGGAAATTCTTGTCCCTCCATAGGGACTTGTCACTTAGATGATACTAAGAAAGAGGACACAAACCTGGGACTCCTCCTTCTTCAGAAGCCATACACCCCACCAACTGCCATCAAGTAGGACCCGAAGCCATGTCTCACTGAGTGGTGGGGGGCAGTGGGGTTCCCAATGTCCTCATCATATTATCTAGGAAATAAAAGGGCCACATTCCCCATCTCTTTTCTGAAACTGTCCTCCAGTCTGAAGTTCTTTCCCAGGCCCACTTGGCCTCACTGCAGCAGCGTGGGTGCAAGCCCAGACGTCCCCGCTCGATTGCTGCCTGAGCTCGGTCAGTGTGGAGCAGGGAAAGAGCACCAGCCTGGGAAACCCGGAGAGCAGCTTCCATCTCTGTCTTGACCACCTGCTGGCTCCTTGGTCCTCATCCCTCTCCTCTCCGGGCCTCAGTTTCTTCGTCTATAGGATGGACAGGCTGGACCTGATGCTCTCTGAGGTCCTTTTTGCACAGTCTTTCTGCGATCCCTCCCTTCTCCTTCTCCACAGTGAGTCTTTGCAGGTTTGAAATCCATCACTGAGGTTCCCAGAGTCAAAAGCTAAGTCCCTTTCAGGCAAAAGCTGGGCTACGGTGTGCTCTGTGCTACCTCTCCAGGTTAAGGTGACTAGCCTGGCTCCCGCAACCAGGATCAGTCCCACCAAGAGCACTGCGGCTCCAAAGACACCCTCATCAAACCCCACGATGACCAGACCTACTACAGCGGGGCTGATACTGAGTTCCCAGCCCTACCACGGTAAGCGTGCAGTCACACGGTCCCAATATCCCTAGGTCCTAGGCCAAGCAGCTGTGACCCAGCACCAGGGAGCACCAAAGAGGAACATGGTGGGGGTTGGGGCGTGGAGGGTCATAGCTACTTTTACTAGCAGAGAGAGGAGGGGAAATAGCCACAGAACAAAAAGAAAAATGGAATTGAAACAGGCACTGGCTGTCCCTAAGACTTTTACCTGAATGCACAAGCTGAGTAGGAAGCAAGGAAATGCCAGAACTCCCCTATGCCCTAGCAAAGCCACCCTGCCTTAATTAACAGCATGACGGGGGAAGCAGGTTGAGTGGTAATTAGATTAGAGACAATTAAAAGCCTGTAGAGAAGACTAAATAACTTTGTGGCTGTCACTTGGCATGGGAGCAAATGAAGCAGTCACACTGCTTTTCAGCTTCAAAGTCCCTCCTCAGCAGCTCTCATTCTTTCCCGGATGCCCTCCTGGAGGCTGGGGCTGGCATCCTTGGCAGTGAGGCCTTGGTGCTCTGCTGGAAATCAGAAGTGGGCAGAGGAGGGGTGAAGTTCATTCTGGACCTGCTGGCCCGCAGCCTCCCAGCCTCCCTGTTCTCTTCCTGGGATGTTTGCCTTGGTTGGACCTGGGCTACTGGGGCACTGGCAGGAAAACCATTCAGTTAGGGATCCATGACCTTTCAGAACTGCAGTCTCAGGTTTAAAGGGGCCGTAAAGGGCCTCAGCCGAACCCACCATTCAAAGCCTCGGGATAAGAAAGATGCTGGAGCCCCTCTGCTCCACCCACTCCTCCTGGTCACTGCTGGCAGAGAACGCCTCAGTCTTGGAGCTATGTCGCTCCTAACTCCTACCAGACTTCTTCCTTGAGTTGAGCTACACTGGTCTCTCAGTAATCTCTGTGCCTTGAGGTAGCAAGTTAGAGAAACCACCTGTGCTATTCAGTTGTGTGATCCAATAAAGTCTCCCCAGCCTTTTCAGGCCAGTCTGTGTTGGGTGATCTGGCTTAACCTCATGACCGCTGGGTACCGAAGTGCGGTCATGGACGGAGGGCAGGAGAGGGCCGCTTCCCAAAGAAACACTGGCATGCTGATGCCATAAGAAGGGGAAGTGGATGCTGGGTGGGCACCTTGGTTCTATTGTCTTCTTGGTGCCACGTAGAACATGTCTAATTTCTCTTCCCCAAGGCAGACGGCAGAGCTAGCAACCATTGGCCATCCCACTTAATTCCGGCTTCACTTTTTGGGACCAGAGAGGAATCCTATGGAAAAGAGATGAACGGATGCCCTAGAAACAGCCACATAGGCCCAGAAAAATGTACACAGAACCAGGGCCTGCTAAAAATGCAAATGGGCTTAGACTGTGTAGTAACTGAGGATGGACCTGCTTCTCTGGGATCGAGGGCAGAGTGACAGGCTGGGAGCACGCAATAGCACTGAGTACATGGTGCCCATCGGTGCTGGGCAGCAGGGCGTAGGCTGTCAAAAAGGCACAGATAGCCATGGTTCAGCCACTCCCTGGGGTGAGGGCCGCTGGCTGCAGAGGCTGAAGGAATCTCCCTTTGCTCTGTCTTCCACCTGGGCCAGGCCTGCCCACCTGCCTAGTCTGCGTGTGCCTCGGTTCCTCTGTGTATTGTGACGACATTGACCTAGAGGACATTCCTCCTCTTCCCGGGAGGACAGCCTACCTGTACGCTCGCTTCAACCGTATCAGCCGTATCAGGGCCGAAGACTTCAAAGGGCTGAGTATGTAATGCTCTGGGAAAAGAGGCGCTGGGGACAGGCAGAGGGAGAAGAGTCACAAGAACAGTCACCAACACTGTGTTAGCCCCTGCCTGTGTTAGCTCTTTCCTGTCGGCTCTCTGTCCCTCCAGCTGTCAAAAGTAAATAGCCCCAAGTCTCTATAAGTCCCTTCCTTGAAGTGTTTAGATGGTGGAAGTGACCTGTTTTTATTTGTTCTCCAAAAAGGTCTGGGAACCTGGGAAGGGAAGGTATGATCTGCCAACACCTTCGGGATGTCCCAGTAGTGACAGCTGTGTAATCAGCTGGCCTCCGGACAGGACAGTCTTAAAGCTGCCCTCCATGGCACTGATGCTGTTGACATGGCTGTTTGTGTGCTTTTTGCTTCTTTATGCCTATGCCCTGCCTTAGACAGGAGACCTGGGCTCTGATCCGGATTCTGCACTCATTACCCACAGCCTTTCTAGGCCTCGGTGCCCTTTTGCATAGACCCACAAGCGGAGGTGAAGTGGATCCAGGGATTCCTGGACCTGTTGGTTCTTGCTTTCAAGAGGTTTCCTTCAAAAGATCCAAGGTGGGCGGCCACCGCACAGGACAGAACTCCAGGGAAGGGCACGGAGGCATCCAAGGGCTTTCCAAGGAGCCCTGGATTATGTTACTTCCTCTGGTTTGGGCCTAGTGCAGGTGGAGAGCTGGTTAGAGTCCCTTTCTCCTGAGAGGGAGAGAACAAGGTGTGGCTACAGCTCCAACCTGGGCAAGGAAAGACAGTGTCTTCTGGTTTCTCTCTCTGTTCTCCCTCAACCTCTCTCAGCAAGGTTAAAGAGGATTGATCTCTCCAGCAACCTCATCTCCTACATTGATAACAATGCCTTCTGCCTGCTGCATGCCCTCCGGGACCTCATCCTCCAAGAGAACCTGCTGGAAGCTCTGCCTGTGCTTCCCACTGGCATTGAGATCCTGGATGCCCGCCTAAATCGGCTGCGGAGCTCGGGAATACAGCCTGCAGCCTTCAGGGTGAGTAGAGGTGGTAGGTCCACTGTCACCATCACCACCGCCACCCACCTCCGCCTCCAC